TATTTTAGGTTTCAAAAATGACAACAGGAGTACTCACATATTTGGTCCAGTTCATCTTTTGTACAGATTACTTTGTTCCATGTCCACTCAAGAACAAACCGTAAATTAACAGCAGAACTTGGCTGCTCTTTAAAAAGAGAAAACAAAAAAGAAATAAATACACAACGTCGAATTAAAACATACAGAACACAAAAATAATGTAAAGAGCATTACCTTTACAAGTCCAGTGTTTAATGCATCCAGTCAGAAGTTCTAAAGAACCTGTCTGGACAGCAGCTGACAATACTGCTTCCAACTGCTCCTCCTAAACAGAACAGACCAAATTAAATGAGAACCTCACATACTTCTGATACCTTTTGAACCATCCACAGAAGTGTTTATTTCCAACTGGATACTCATTCAGACATCACAAAGTCAACTAGTGCACATGCAACTAATTCCACATTCTTCTTCTTCATTCTAGCCCTGGCTGGACTGCCTGTTGCTCTGAGGAACACAGCAAAAGTTTCCTCTGACATTTCAACTTACTAATTGGCTAATTCTAATCTGCATTTGCGTGCCTCTGTGTTTTAGTCTCCATTCATTGAGTTCCAATAACTATTTTCAGGAACATCTTGTGCTAATATCCCTCATGCACTTTGCGCACACGTTTGCCATCAGGAACACGTGAAGGGGACAGAACTAATACAGCTGTGTCTGCATGGAAACAGTGAAGCTCAGGTCAAGCAGCTTCCAGGACTATCACAACATGAAGCAGCTTTGACACCCAAAACATTAAGTTGTAATTTGTTAAAGTGCCAGAAGAGAAGTGAAACATTTCAATTCTAAGGGGCTTAGATTTCAGGCTGTTCAAATACTGCAGTATAATATCATGGCAATCCTTGAGAAGGACAATGCACAGGCGTGCACACACATGGGAAATAAGGTAGCAGCTTATTTCAGGTGGTGTTCAGACACTTCTTTCAGGTGAAATGATCCTGCATTACATTTTACTTTTTTTTTCCTTCTATTTTTTAAAATAAATTAACAAGTATGTTTGCCTTCTAGGTAAAATCATTACATTTAAAGAAATTTCTTCACTTCAGAAAACACATGATACTTTCACTTTTTCTGGAAACAGGTTTCAGACAAAGAAACACACTAGTAGTACTACTTAAGAGTGGCAAACAAAACTCCAAACCAAGCTTCTTGACCCTAATTCTGAAATTTCTCTTTCTAGCATTTAAAAGCAATCCCCACTCGAATGCTTAACAAGTCTCCAAACAATACAGTCACAATTCAGCAAAGGTCATCATAAATTTTTTTGCTTTCCCAAGTTATTTCCAAACCAGAGTTCACACCAGAACATCTAATCAGAGCATAAGAGCCTTCATCAGGCTTGCAAAATAAGTGTTCTATGGGCTGGGTCAGTTTACCAAGAAATTTATTTTAGCTACCACACTGTGCTGAAGTGCTATTTGCCGTAACACATTTCCACCGAGTGGTGAAGAATCCCACAGACAGGAAGACAAGGGCAGACTGCTCTCCCCCTCCTACTGCTCACTGCTATGAGTATGATGAGTAGCCGACCATTTAGCTTTGACCCAGTCTCAGGAAAGACAAGCTATTCATCACAAAGACTCCTTCTCTCATGAAACTCTTCAGATGAGAGAAAAAGGTTATTGTACTGCAAATGGAAAACCATGGTACGTGACAGAGGGGCGTGAAGTCACTATGATCGGACATAAAGGTGATGAAGGTGTTGCAGCAACAGGAGGGCAGTCTGAGAGAGGAAATCGGTCTACCGTAGCTCAAGGCCAAGGCTACAGAGGCAAAGATTAGTTTTGAGGGGGTACAGAAAAGCCTACTGATGAAGGGAAAATGAGGGGAAGTGGTGATGACATTGTCAGAGCCGACAACAGTAATTGGTTAGCACAGCCCACTTTCTTGGAAGCAAATGATCATGCCTAGTGCAGCAAGCTGACGTTCGCAGTAGCATGGCCTGAGGGAGACACCCCATCGCCAGCTACTGCACTGAACCCAGTGCTCTGAGACACTGATGGGAATGAAGGCTGTTCCAAGGGAGATGCTTTCCAATGCACGTGACCAGTACTGACTGCACGCTTCCTTATGGACACCTGGGGCACCACATTAAGAGATGGGTCCCTAAAGACAGACCTCTTAGGGCTGTTCCCAGTTGAACTCAGTAGTTCGGATCTAACAATACTTTTACTTTTGCTAAGTAAAGTCAACACCTGCCTTTCAGTGCAACTTGCAAAACACATAAAAATCAGATGATCATGTAGCCTCTGCAGTCCTGTCAGAAAAGATGGACATACTTTCTCCTTCATTCCCCAGTGTACACTCACCTGACTCAAACTGGATGGCTGGACATCAACCAGTCTTGGAGACAGCAAGCCAGCTACAAGACACCTAGTGTAGCTGTCATGAATAGCTTCACTTATTAAAGGACCAGATTTCTTCAAGAACTTCAAGGTCTGAAACATCAATCAAAAACACAGGTTAAGACAGCATTCAATCACTAAGGTTCTGGATAATCACTAACAGAAATAATATTAACTTTTACTTAAATTGTCAGAAAGATGCATCAGTAGTATGCTCTAGGTTAGTAATTTGAGTAAGCATTGCTATGCAGAGTCTGAAAGACAGCAGCCAAACTAATAGTTTCAGTTTATAAAAAAACATCCTGTAGAATACCAGTCCTTGCAATGCTGAAGGAAGGATATTCTAGTTTCTGTCAATACACATGCCTTGCTTTTCCCTGAACACTGACACAAATTATATTCCACGGAAGCTAAAACTAACATGTCAAATCACTCTTTGAAAGACTCTTTCTGTGCTTGTTTGTGTGGAAGCTGATTTAGAAGGAAATATTTAGTGAGCTGAAACTTAATTCAAAAGGACTGGTCACAAGCTGTGCAGTGACTCAGAAGTTATAATTTGGCCAAGTTGGGGAGAAAAAACATTAATTGCTTCTTCAACAGTTAAATAATTTTTCCTTTTTTCCATTCTGTCCTCCTTTCTCAAGGTAATCAGGGATCAAAACCTAACTCCAGACTGTGCAGATAGTTTGACTGATGGGTAATCAAGAAGTAACTGCTTTCCCCAACTTCCACAACACTTTTGTTCTTGCTCCAACAGCAACATTGCATTCCTTTCTAGGCATTCCATCTCTGCTCATGCTTCCCTGAAACAGTACTATTTGCATAAAACTGGCAGGATATGATTGCAGTTATGCATGTGGACAGACAGGATGAGCATAAAATGGCCTCTGGCCCACAAAGCAGTGCAGGAGAAAACTTGGAGAAGGTACATCTCTTGACATTCTCAGTATAGATACAGTAAAGAAAGTCACCTCTTTCTGAAAGCCGGTGCAAGTCATGTGAACAACCCCTGAGTTCAGCAAGCACGTAACATCTGCAGAAAAAAAGAAATGCTTGACAACCTTCAATACTCTCATCACTTACAAACTTCCTTAAAAAATTATTTGCCTGTAGAAACTTTATCTGAAGAGCTACCGAGGTGCTGTGCTTTGTACCTCAATCCAAAGTCATTTCATCTTATGACCATCAGCCCTTCACAGGCTACGTTACAAAAGCACCAAAACCCACAACTCAGCAGACTGTCAGATATGTCAGACTGAAGACCTTGTTAGCACAAGGTAACCAGGTTTGTGAGGGTTTGGGGGTTTTGTTTGTTTTGCTTTTGGCATGACAAATGAGGAACAAGAAAGATAACCACTAAGTGGCATTTGACCTCAACTGAAGCTTGTCACTATTCAAAGCACTGAAATACCTAC